TGTGATAAATTTTTGTCCGTAAAAGTAGTTATGAACAAAACGAATAAGACGTATCAAAGGAATGGAAGGTAAGAGGTTGAAGATGCGAGATTACCTGAACGAAGATACTAGGACCGATATACAAAGCGTCACGTTGTATATCGGCGATGGGGAGGCGCTTGTGGTACCGCCACGCTGTCAAAATAAACGGCACTATCGCAATTTATCTCGTTTCCCATGATAATAAGAGATAAAACTGCATCCTTACATTAGCTAGTATATCAGCTAAAATGATAATTTCAGTCGTCGGATTCGCCAGAAGCGCGTAGGGCCGCTCCTATTCTCTTCAGTCGTGCCGATCTATAAATTTCCTCGAACGAATCCTTCGGAGATTCACAAAAATGAGTCAGTCAAACATATTTTAACCCAAAGTGCATTGTGTAAAATCGAGATTACCGTAAATACGTATAACTCAAAAAATGCAGCAGAAAAGGTCGTTTGATTTCATGTTTACCTTATGACTCTCTAAAGAACATTTCTGAAGTGCGTTATCTAACGACAGTGTGAGCAATTAGAATAAATTTTTCGCAAATTTCCATTAAGAAATCTATTTGATGCTTGTATGAGAGTAAAATTTACAGATTTATAATGAAAGTGAGCAATTCATGAAGCATACAAACGTGAATGGATATTCAATCTGATCAAAAGACTCGAAAAATTGTCAACAATTCTGCAAGTGATAATACAAATGAAATATGTGCGCGTTGAGAATTGCTGCATGTCTGGAAATTAATACGTCACAAATTTTCGTATTTTTCTAAGGCAAACACGATGGAAATAAAAATCGAACGAGTAAAGAGGATTTACGTCATTAAACGGGGCGCGAACACGTCGAGGCCATTTCCTTTATCAGCCATGTAGAAGTCTCTTATCATTATACATGAAAAAAAATACAGGTGTGTGTAGATGAGTGATTGCCGTACGTGTGTGTGTACGTGAAAATCCGTATCACTGGGAATCTACGCGAAAATGATGTCTTATTTACGTCTGTTGACATCATGCAGTTCAAAGTATATCTACAGATATATATGGTGTCGTAAAATTATCGAATGTTCTTTTCACTATGCTTTTCTGATCTATATATATGTATATATATAGAAGCTTTTTTTTATATTAATAAAAATATCGATATTCTTCTTGCTTTCTAATTATTATATAATTTGTTGCGTATCTCTATAATTAAATTTTAACTTTAATTCCATTAAAATTGAAAAAAATAAGTTTTTTTTCAATTAAGTGTTTAAAGAATTATACGATTTCAGCTTGAAATTATAATTTAGCATTGTAGTTTCACAATAACAGATTAAAGAGACTTTTCAAATGATATAGCGCTAAGTTCTCAGATCTTATTGAATACTGAGAAGTCCATAAAACTTTATTGCAATTTATCATCGTTTTGTAATCAAGTACAGTGCATGCTTGTGCACCAAAATGGCGAACATATAGAAGTTTTTTATGGTATGTGTCTAAATGACTCGACGGTGATGTCTCACATCCGTAACGCGTGCACAGATGAAGAAGGTTTTACGGCGCAATTATTGAAATTTACAACGAGACAGAACTGTCTCAATTTCAACGTCGACGGGATTAACATCGCGCTACAACCGCGTTGTGCAAACACAAGTTTCATGCTCATTGTTTTCGTTGCAAATATAGTGCGCCCGTTTATTGTAACATATCCGAAAAATAGATTCTAGAGAACAAAGATATTTACAATACTTACATTGACTTAGACGCACTTCAATAAAAAAATGTTTAAAACAATGTCAGAATTTTTGTTATCTAAAAGTTGTCTATTGTCTCTGAAAGAGAAAAAAATGAGACACGTACATGGTACGATTATAGTAATGTTTGCATTTCTGCAGTGTAACGACGAGAGACCGAAACTTTTTATACCAATATTTGTATATCGAACACTCGACCACGAATGGAACGTCACAAGACCTTGAAAAAATGATTTATATTGGGATCGTATTCGAAACTAAAACTCATACCATTTTTTTCGAATCATTTTTTATGATGACGGATTTTTACATCAGTAAAATCCATTATAATATACCTAATACGCTTTGCATATTACGTGCTTACTATTCTTATTATAACTAATTTAAATAATTTGCACAGCAAATTAAATTTAAATGGAAATATATGTAATATTTCTCAAATTAATTTCAAGTAAATTTTTAAATAAAGTTTTAATTTCATGCTTATGTCAGTGATTCCTTATTTAACGTCATAAATTAGGGAAAAATGCTACAAAATTATTCAATTACCGAGAGAATACTACCAAATGGATATTTTATGCGTAAATATTTCACATTTGTCAAAAGATTATAAGATATCTTTTAAATTATTAAAGTATTCCTTTCCTGTTATCGTTTTTTGACTATTAACAAATTTTTAACTATGTATATTCAAACGTACAAGAAAATGAACAATTCTGATCGTCATTATTTTCTTATTTCTGTGATACGTGATTGATGCGATATTTTTCGAAAATAAACTTTGTTACTTTCGAATAAATCGACACAATAATCTTAAGCCTGATCTACAATTGCGTAAACGTTGTAAGAATCCTCCAATCACAGTTGGGTATTTTCCTCATATTCAATTGTAATTGGTCAATTCTTACAATTACAACAACGTTGAAGCAATGTAGATCGAGCTTAAGGAAGATGTCGCGTCGCCGCTGCACGACGGTGACGGCATAAAAGTCGGCCGCGATGCGAGGACCAATAATTAACGTACACGACAAACAGTATTATCGTCATTGCCTGATATTATTCCCATTATCTTATATGTACGGCGGCTATGTGCTTAATGATTAATAAAATATTATCTGCGCTCAGGGTATATCTGTCTCTTCCTGGCGACAAATAGTTTCGTGCCAGACATCGCGAGAAACACCGACGTCGACGTCGCGCAACTTGTGTGATCTGCAGGTGAAAATTAAATTATATAAAGTCGATCGTATTTGAAAATAAAATATCGCAAACGTATGTGATTCGAAGAAAAAACATGCACAAAGTAAAATGTCATTTCTCACGGGAGATGTGTGTTAAAGATGACTTCGATGGCTTTCGGAGACATCATGATGTCATGATTGATGTAAAATTGCAAAATTCCCGTAAGTATACGTAATCCGAAATTTAAAGGAGACAAAATTAGAGAAGTAGCATCAATGAGTATATCATGAGTTATATCATGAGTGGCAATTCGAAAAAATTGGACATTATTTAAAGTAGTAGATGCGAAATAGTAGAAACATTATATATATATATAGATAAGTGCAAAATGGAAACATGTTAAATTAAATGCGTAAATATTGTGTGGCAAATTTTATAAAAAAAAAAAGTGCGTGTATCTTTATCTCATAAAAAGGCCCGCTCATCGAAATCTTCTATCGCGAATACGTACCGTCGGAATAATCCAATGTTATCGTCGATTAATATTTATATTGACAATATTTTTGCAGTCAAGAAATTTAAACACCGTTATTTCAGATGTATTTCACTCTTAAGCCTTAGGTGAATTAATTAAACATTAAAATAATTAATATGGTGTAAGTGAGAGTGCTTAAAGAGACCTGCAAATATTTTCGATCGCATTTGTATATATATTGGATATATTATGTGTAACTTAATAAGCTCATATGCAATTTCAACGATTCGTGATGATAATATTGTAAATTGTTCGTATATCGGACGCACACACGATGTGTTTTCAAGTGATAAAATAGATGAATCGGTATAATATAGGTGAACCAAGACTTTGAAGAAGAAAAATGAGAAAAAATCACTGAGAAAGCGAGAGGAAACACCAGAAAGACGGATGAATCTAATCGGTATAAGAACCGTATCTAAATTTCGACGTCGAGATCGCATCGATGAGGTGGAGGAAGCGGGCCGCGTACAAAACACAAGTGTCGGAGCGGGCCAAACATAAAACACAAGTGTTCCTTTCGTGTACAGCGTTACGGATGCTCGCTTTCGTTTGACTCCTTGCATGCGTTTCTCTCTCTCTCTCTCAATAGTGATCAGGTAAAATCGCGTTAGACAATCCGCTGCTCCTGAATCAATAGCCTGAATCCCATAAGTGTTTATTTGTATATATATAAAATGGAATTATAAACTTTATTAAGTTTTAATATCTTTTTTTTTATACTTTTCAATAACGTCTATATTGCAGTCATTTTTATATTGGAATTGTTAAATTGTGTTAAATTATGATTATGTGTATATGTACAACTCTATAGTATTAAATTTATATTAATATTAATTAGAAATGTTTTACGTTAATATCACATATATAAAGTTAACAATCGCTTAAGATATTAAACAATTAGATTTATCTATTACAGATATACGTGAGAGAAAACTGTCATTAAAAATATGTTAATTGTTTCATTTATCTATATATATAATGATAAATTTTAATTATTAGTTTTTACATCGTAATTTAAATTATTCCTAAATCATTTATTCACCATAAAATAGATGTATTTATAACGTCACTGAAACCGCATGATTTGTTTATTGACTCGCTGTATAATCCTGTAGAAAACGGCATCACATTGCCGGTTTCTAAGAAAATGCACGAAACCGATATCATCGAAAGGCTGCGAACAGAATAATAAGGGGTTTTAACTTACAAATTAACGGAAGAGAAAGATGAGGAAGAAACGTCGAAGAAGAGAGCGGCTACTACGGAGAACACCTCTTGGAACTACTTGCGACTCTGTACTCGACGCTCCACGACGTGCTCCGACGTTCTTGGAGCTCCTCGTCGTTACTGCGTCTACGAGTGAGTTTGTGAGCGAGACACGCACGCGGCGCGCGCTTGACACAGGTGCGCTTCCACGAGGAGAGCAAGGAGGCCTGCTACTCTTCGTCGTCGTGGTCGTCGTCGTCGTTGGAACTGCCGCCTGGTAGCGCAAGATCAAAGCTTCGATTTTATCCGAGAGCCGTTAAATATTAACTGATGACGATTAGAAAGCGACTGTTGCCGCCGTGTTGTATCGCATCGGAATCCCTTCTGCGGACGCCATATTGGTACCGATACTCGTCGGCGCGCGGCGTTTCACTCTTTTACCGTGATGGTGAGTTGCGAATATAATAAAAATGGCAATAAAGAATTCTTTTTTAACAAAACAACTAGTTCTAGATATAGATAGTTGATCAAAACATCGAAAATTTAAAATATTGTTACTTATGTAATTATTTATTTATAAATTTTGTATAATTAACGGAACAACTCTAATTTTTTAAAAGCAATTTATTTTTTTTGAAAACCCAGATCTGTATCATATAAACAAATAACTAAATTTTATAAAATTATAACTTAACTGTATTTTTTATAATAAATTATCTGAACGTTTTGTTATATGTAAAATACGGAGTCACAGTCAGTTTATAATATATTATTTTTTATACTTCACGTGTACTATTTCGCATGATTTTCGTATCGCAATAATGTCTTATTTATCGTTCTTCTCTTTATATTTGTTTTTTACATTTTGCGCAGATTGTAGTCCGACCCAATTATCTTTTTATGTTTATAATATAATTCATAAAAACAATTATACGATTGCCTCAATGCAAATATAAAAGTCGATAAAAGTCACTTAAGAAAGATTTATATTGTGAAATTTCTTTGATAAATGTTTTTTAAAACAATTGTATAATGAGAAAAAATTGAGTAAAAGAAAAACGCTAGTATTTGAACTAAAATATTGTAGAACAATCTCTCCTAGGACAAAAAGTATAAATATTTATAATGTTATGAAAAATCTTCGGCTTATTCGTATTTTATTACTTTTATCCCAGGTTATATTTTTGTGGAGCTCCTTGACGAGGGATCGGTTTACCTTACCGTACAGGTATATACCTATCACAGTTATCATTTTGTTAGGAGGGGAACGAAGTTTGAAGCCGGAGGGTTATAGTCATGGTTACAGAGCACACACTAGGGTACCGTTGATAAGAGAATCAGGTGAGACATCGTTTTAATAAGGCAACGATCCAGTGAACATTTCCCAGAAGTAACAACATATAATCGAGAATTGTTTTTAAGTTAATACAATTACAAATTATTTAAGCAATAAAATTCTTTGCGTTTGTAAAAATAATATACATTAAAATTTAAAAAAAAAAATTTTATTAAATAGTTAATGTTTAAGGGGAGGTTCTCATGAAACTCGACCCGAAAATGTCAAAATTTTTTTTTGCGTTTTTTGATAGCTTATTATGTGTAGAATAAGCCCCCATAAACGCCAGAAAAAGTTTGGCTGAAAAAAAAAATTTGTGGTACAAAAAGCGAACCCACCTTTTTACACTAAAATCGACTAAAATTGACGAAAAAATAAAAAAAATTATGTGATTTTGCACTTCTTAAATATTTTCACTTTTCTCAGCACGATTGTGAAGTGTAAAAATTGTAAAAGTGACGTGCAATTTTCAAAAACTGCTGGTGCAGGCGTTGCATTCAAATTAGTGGTGAAATGTAAGAAAACTCTTATCAAAACTTTAAACGCGTTTTCTGAAAAGTACTGTTTTTCAAAACTGTAGCCACGATTTCTCAAGATCTAATTGACGGATCGGGTCAAATTTTTTTTTATTTTAAAGTAAATTAAATTTATTGGAGGATGAACCTAAATGCGACTGATATTTCATGTTTTTTCGATTTTTTATAGCACTTTGAAGAGCGAACAAAAACGTAAAAAACGACATTTAAAATTCAAATGCATGTCATTTTTTCAATTTTCGATATTTTTTCGATTTTATAGGTTCAAGCTCCAACAAATATCATATA